CAGTCACACAGACTATATCTCTGGAATTTCTCCAAAGAAGATAACAGGATCATATTAGAGCCTTTCCCCCCATTCTTTTAGGTCCTGAAGACTTCATGGTATGATTAAGAGTATCAGTGGCTTCTTGCTCATTTCGAGCTGTTTTATCTCAGAATGGTCTTTGCATGGGCGTATGGGTGTCAGCACCTTGCCGTATCATCTTACTCAACACTGAACAAATGGATTTGATCTTTGTTTTATATTCCTCTCATCACACAATTACGAAAATATTTTTTCAGACAACTTCAGGGTCAAGTTCAGGAATAATCCGCAGTATCTTTTTTAGTGCTGCAAGCAAATGACTAAACCACTGGCCAAGCCCGGACTGGCATAATCCTGAGGTTAAATTAACCTAACAGGGTGTGGAAAACTACTGGATGTGAGACCATGACAACATGAGAAATTTCTGGATGTCACTGACAATCATGTAAGAAGCAGAAAGAAGTTCCAGCTAGCACTGTGAGGAAAGGCTGGATCCCACAGATGGTTAAGGGAGAAGGCATCAAAGTTCAAAAGTGACTGGAGGAAATTATTTGGGACCTTTCAGGGGGTTTACAATCTTTCAAAGACATCAGCACCTGGGTGACAGCATCAGCAATACCATACAAGGCCAAGAGTGACGAGGTAACAGAACTACAAAATCTGTAGTGAATCTGTGAAGGTAATTAGGGACAGGCTGTTTGTTTGAGAGGAGACTTGATCAGAGGAAGCAAAGTGGTGAAAAAGAGGATCAAGATGCAGTAAAAGAACTAACTAAGGTGTGCAAATCATGTCTTTCTGAGGATACCTGCTGAGCAGCCCTGTGTCTGATCACCACATCCTACCTAAACCTGAACAATAAACCAAACGTTTTAGAGTTTATTTGTATAGATTCATTTCACCGAACTTGAAAAATAAAATGCTTTAGTGTTTAGCATGACCTGGCCACCGCAACATGCACAAGCGAAACAGATTCCTCCAGCAGGTAACTCATCCTAAATGGATGTAGGATGTAGGCTTGCCTGAAAACAAATGCCTAGTGCCACCTGAGATGCCCTAGGGCATCTGAACAGGGACCACCCACAGGAGAGGCAGTAGACCCTCCAACGGATCTTCCATGGCACTGTATGCCTATGTTCAAGCGACTGAATCACACTCCTACACGGCTGAAAGGGCTAGCTGAGTCCTATCTTCTGTACCAGATGCAAATCACTCCAGTTTAGTTGCTTCTATAAATGATGTGTCTGGACAGACCAGCCAAGGCAGGCAGTGTCACCTGACTAGACTCAAAACTCACAATGATGATAGAACTTTTATTATATCTCATTGCTGGAGCTAATAAATATGCTAATAATAAGAGAGACCATATAATAATGAATGTGATTATACAATCTATCTGCCTTCAGTTAGATGAGATAGGACCCAGGAGGCCCCCCTCTACTCTGATAACTCTTTCTGATGTCATTTTATGTTCTGCTAGCAGTACTTACCTTTTGAATCTTTACCTGACACCATTTAACTGAAAAAAAAGTAGTTTGCTCATGCTATTATTACATTAAATGGGAAAAACCTCATCAGTATTAACTCATTTGAGCTAGTAATTGTGACAATATTATTCATCGTAAGATATTTTCTTCCCCTACAGGTCACTGTGGAGTGCCAGAGCTGTTCCGTATCCAACCGGAACTACTGGGTACTACTAGAAAATAATGACTTATTAAGAGAAACTGTCAAAAGTGTAAGAGAGACAGGAATCTTGATTGCATTACATTTGCAGGTAAAACTAATTAACGTACGAACCAAAAGATTATATAAGCATGCACAATTCTAGCTAACACCAGCAGTTCTCAGAATGCATGAATTCGTTTTGAAATACTTACGGTTTTGAAATGACTTTTTGTTCCCATATAGTTTAGTTATTTTGTTCTGTTAAGGGAATTTACCTTCTCTGCCAAAGGAAATTCTGAACCTGAACTCTTCATATAACATACACTGTTGTGTGCTGCTGTGTTAGGCAGCACCGTGGGGGCCCCAATCACAAGAATATTCACAGTAGTAACATTAGCATGATGTTTAAACTGCAGGTTGCACAGTACAATGTGCAATTGCCAATACAGTGGAGTATTCACATGTAAATTAGGATGCCACATCCTGCCTTTCGTTCCAGTGTGAAACTATGGGCTTCAAAAAGAGAGTCAGTGAAATGACCATAGCAGGGTAGGGCCCTCATATAATCTGAATTAATGAATGGGTTAATTGCTTCATGCTGGGTCTGGTCCTGTAAGGGGGGGCATAAATGCCTCTAAAATCTTGAAATGCAAGACGAATGTGCCTGACTTCAATGCAGTCTTTCCCTTCTTGTACCTCTGCCATCACAGAATTCAGTCTGGGATTTGGTACGTACTCTGTGGTTTAAGTTAGAATAACTTTTACAAATAAACAAATCAATGAGACTAAGCATTGATTTCCCCTAGAATGCCACACAATCTGACCTTTTCAGAATCTGCATGTGGGTTACTCTGGCAGTAAAAACAACCATGACTAAGAAGCACGTTATGCGTTTCCCACATACTGCTTTACATATTATACAAAAAATACTATTATTAAAATGGCAAAGATAACAGGTAAGAGGGAACGCAGGTTTTCAGTAACTTTGTGCACTTAAGCACATTAAAAATTTAAATGTATTCATGTCACACACTGGGGAAAGCAGAAAAGATGTAGAAATACATTTATCTGTTGCTCTACTTATCTGACCTATGAGTCATACATTTTTACTTCATAGTGTACAAAATATTTCAAGCACCACTTTATACGGTGATTATTTCTTAGCAGGGTTTTTCCTTAAAAAATAGCAGTCAGCAGGTAGCGGAGAAGCAAATGCTAAAATGAAGATCTTGTTGCTGCTGCTAGAGCTGCTCAGGGAGCAGCATCTGGATCTGACTTGAGCCTCAGTCAGACATCAGAGTTGAGGTCTGAGTTTGCTGGGACTTTCCCGTTCCTCACGCATAAGGGTCCCCTCACTGTTGCCTGCTGGCAGCTGGGTATGTCCAAACTCCCTGCCTATGCAGTGCTAAGTCAAGCACAGGCTGGCAGAACGGTAAAGGATGTTTCCTGGAGAATCGAGTGGCTGCAAACACACATTCTGAGACCCATGATCTGCCACATCCCATCTACATGACCTCAGGAGAGTCTCTCGCAGGACCATGTCCCCCACGTACCGCAAAGGGGCAACGGTGTTTGCAGACTACCGGAGCCAGGGTACCCATCAGCAGGACACCAGCATCCCAAGCCAGATGCTTCACAGCTGTGTCAATGCGGGCAGATCAGAAAGTTTTAAGCCAAATTTGGACCTCAGCTTTTGAAGAGAAGTGAAACTCCTCCTGCATGGGCCAAATTCTACTCTCAGGTATGGACAGATAAACTACAAAATAAATTGCAGTGGTGTGACTGAGGGCAAAAGCTTCTCTCATGGCTTTAGCCAACATGAATTTTACATGTGTTTGGATTACAGGATAGAATTGTGTATTTTATCAGAGATCCGCGTTGATGCTTTAAAGCAACAAGTTTCAGGAAAAATATTTCTGTATATTTGTAAATGGATAAGTAAGAGCTACGTGGTCTGGCTTTTCCAAGCTCCCAATTCTGTGCATGGATAGCACAGAAATACAGTCCTTAGGGAAGACATGTAACAAATGATTAATCCTTAGATGATCAAATTTCAAATACACAAACTAGTCCTACTTGTAGGATATGACCTTGACCTTTGCTCAAAATGTGAACATAACTTATTAAAAATATTTCTCAAGGATTCAAGGCATTTTGGAAAAGGCTTTTGCGCAGTCCATCTACACCTGCTCTGAGACTGTGGATACTACTGAGTCCGTATCAAGTCTTGTCAGCAGAAGGTCTGAGGTGGGAAAGCTTCATTTCTACATCCCTCTGATGAGGAAAGGTGGCAGAGGCTGGTTCAGGTTTTGCACTTATTCCAGGAAAACTAATGAGCGCTCTAGGTTATGTCAGCATTAATGATCTCACGGGCATCATTTCACTACCCAGACACTGGCAGAGCTCATGGTCTTTGTTCTACGGCATCAGAAGGAAAAGAAAAGCAGTTTTATAATGCCTGGCAATAGCTCTGCCATAGGCTTTGTTGGGCAGCTTTTCTAAGCTGCCTAAGTAAGTCCCACACAGTGCAGGAGTCTAGCTTACTACAGGGCATTTTTAGCTAAAAAACCAGGCACATTATGCCATTAAAAAAAAATCAACATTTCAGACCTAGTTTTTCATTGTTCATTTAAAGCCTAGTTTATTCAAAGTAAGCATTCATATCATCCTCCTTCTTTCAGAAAAGTAGTCAGGCATGTACTTAGATCCCACAGATTTCAAGAAAGTAAAAACAATAGATTTGATAGTTAAGCATAAGGTCAACTAAATCAGGGCTTTTACACCTGTAATAATAATTGGAGAACACTGCTGAGTCAGAATGGGAATATTTCTTCTTGCTTTTTGTGCTCAAGGTACAGAGGAAGGAGAAACAACGTCACTCTAAGGCCACTGAAGAGACTCTTCCCTTCACCACAAAGGTGATGTAAGAATTTTTTCCCTTTTTCTTTCCTAACACTTATTCCTTTTCTTGCATTGCATCTTACACCCCTCTCATTTGGATCAAATCAGCTCTTCGTGGGATATTACAAATTATATTACTGAAAGCATCTGGGTTAAAAATAAGATGCTTTCTTCTCATGAAGGTTCAGTGGTCTGGTTTGCAGCAGAAACACATAAACAGCTATTCTGCAGGACGGGGTGAAACGAACTTCCAATGTGCAAATGAATAGCTGGAGCAGGGAGCTTCTCAGACCAGTCTTCTGCCAGTGAAAACAATTCACTGAACAGCATATGAAGTTAAAATCCATAGTAAGTGAAATTCAAAGCACTCTAGCATATTGGTTAAACAGTGCATATTATTTTTCTGTACTTACTGTGCCCCACCAGAGAGCATCTGCATATGTGGAGAATTGGTTATTTGCATCCTTTTCCACCAGATAAACCAGGAAAGATGAAAAGATGAGTACTAAAAATCCTATGTACCAGGCTGTGATTAATTCCTAGATAAAAGAAACTGGAGATCAGTATCCATGTGAAAGATTGAACAGAAAGGCATTTCAAGGAAGACAAAATGAAAAGATCTACATACTTTTTTTGGCATTTGAGCAGTTCGAAGTCAAATGCTTCCCTATGAATGCAAACTTTCTCTAGAATTGGACAGAATACACTCCTATGGTTTGACACTCCAGCAACTTCACCAATATGTATGGAATTACAACAGCATATCAAGGACATCATTTTCAACATCTTCTAAAAACTGGTAGTGTTTAACTTGGCCTAATGTATCTGTGCTAATGCCCGTTACAATTGATGTCACTTCAGAAAATTTTAGGTATTCTGCTCAAAACTGATAAATGTTTGTTTCCTTGGCCTCTTGTTGAAGTATGTCAAGTAAAGATATCAGACAAAATCAGCAGCTAGGATTACGTACCTTGCTATGTGCATAAACTACTGAACCTAACAATTTCCAAGTGCCTCCTCTTCGGTCCATGCGCACCATACGAAGGATCTGTAGGAAACGAAGACTTCTCAGTGCTGATGTTGCAAAAATGTTACCCTGAGTTTTTGCAGAAACAACTGCTATTGAAGCGATGAGAACAATGATGTCTGAAAGAAATATATTACAGAAAACATTAATGTCCAGGTATAAATAAATAACACATACATGTACATGAGCTGAATGAAGGGACAAAAGAGAGACTCCTCCTGCGGTGGGCGGGAATCCAAAGCACTGAGATTCCTGTTTGAGGTAGGGATGTGAGGTCAGGACTAGTGTCGAAAACTGCCTCGGAAGCCTCCAGGGTGAAAACTGAGGATGGTCATTAGGAAAACGTATGGATAAGAGTAGCAGTGTTGAAGGAACCTTGTGTAGGAGCTTTGAAACCTGATGTAGCAAACTGTACAAATCAGTAGATGGACTGGAACTTTTTCCCTTTATATCTTTTCCCATAGTAACTTCCCTATGAAAAGGCAAAAGAGAAAACAAAGGTAAGAAAAAAATAGAGCAGCCCCAGTGGTGAGAGTCCAGTGGAATCAGAGTTACAAGCACACATACAAATTTCCTGTGAGTACAAACACTGTGTGGTTGAGGCACGTAGTTTCTGGACACAACTCCCCTGTTGTACCATTTCCTGGAAAGGAAGGAATACAGTGCTGGGTACTCAGAAGCATTCTTTTAGCTGGCAGCCTGGAAAGTTTTTTGAAGCCCAGCAAGTGTTAGGATTTATTTCATCAGGTCACGGATTCAAACTGTGAGAGCAAGTTTGTTCTGCATGAACTAATCAGCCAACTGGCCTTTGAGCCAGAACAGCATTTAAAGAAAGATGAGGAGAAGAGGCACAGCGACGGTACATGGATGCTGTGAGAAGGCATAATGTTCTTTTACGATGATTGGGGCTGACACACTGGTGTGCAGGGATTGGAAAAGGACAGAACAAGCACTGTGTTACTTCATCCCCTCATCATTAAATTCCTGACCTTCTTTAAAAGCTTAAAGAGCCTTTGTAAGAGACACCTGGTTTAAATCTTAGGATTTTGTGGTGTTTGTATGCTTATACGCAAGGATAATCTAAACCCATGTTTGCCAGTGAAGAACTTCCCAAAAACAAGCTCTTTTGCTTCTTTTGTGTCGAGTATAAACACTAATCTTCTACCAAGTATAGCTCCTACAAGTCATGAATGACCCAGTAAGTGAAAAGGCCCCCCACAGGCAAGTGGCAAGAGAGACCTGTAGGCTGTGCCTGCAAGCAGGAGACTCTTTTCTTAACCTGCTCCAGTACAGTAGGAAATAGCCTTGGTTCATTCTGCTTAGCCACCAAAGTAAGTTGAGATCTTAATACCCTTGCCTCCAAACATTCTGGGTTCCTATGAACTCACCTCTGAGTGGCTTTGCCCTCTTCTTGCAATACTAAGGGTACAGACAACTTGTAGTTTAAGGAGTGTCCTGTTAAATTGTGGAAATCCCTGTCACAAGATGCTAAAAGTTTACACAGGTTCAAAGTCAGCAGGATGATCTCACGGGAGAAAATTTAATCCAGGGCTAATTAATACCAAGAGCTCACTTCTGGCTCAGGGTGTCTCTGAGCAGCAGGCTGTTGGAGGCTGAGACACTCTTATGGAGAAATATCACTGTGTGTTTTCCCCTGCTTGTGTAATCTTCCCTGACTGCTCACTGTTGACTAGTGTCACTCTTGGGCATACTGTGTTAGGCTAGGCTGACCTGTCTGCCTTCTTCTATGCCATTTTAAATTGCCTTTTGCTGCTACATAGGTGGATCATAGGTGGCTACTATATAACTGGCTACCAAAAAAGCTGTATTTGCTTCTAGATGTAAATCCAACAAGTTCAAAGACCAGGAAGCGCCAGAAATGGATAAAGTATGCTAGGGTGTACAGTCCAAGTCTCAAGAGCACAGCAACCAGGTGCAGCAGGTCTGGGTGAGAATTCAGAAACAGGGTAACTGGCCAGGAATAGTTAATAGTTAATAGACATCACAAATTCTAACGGAGATCAGAAAAACAGATAGGGTCAGATTCAGCTAGACGTGAAAACATTTAAATGTAGATATCCACATGGGAAGCAGGTGTCTGAACTCTCCACGGAGCACAAGGAAATTACATCAGAGGAGAGAGGTGCAGCTAATCCTGAGGAAGGCTCCTGCTGGCTGCTCAGCTGATGGACTTGGTACATCTCACACTCTGGGCTTGGTACAAAAAAAAAGGCTCAATTCAGTTTCCCAGATTTATTTGTCCAGTGCCATTTGAGATGCCCTAAGGTATCTGAGGCATCCCCTAGGTCTGGCAGCTATGCTCTCAGACCTGGAAGCCTGTGCCCTTCAGGAGAAGTCACGGGAGAGCAGGGAATATCATGTAACAGGGGACATCTCTGTGTACTCCGCTGAACTAAGCCCTAGATCTTGACCGACTTTACTGGAAGTCTAGACACGTAGCACACACGTACCCACCTACAAGCAAACTTCTATATTTAGGTGTGTTTATCTGGATCTGAGGCTCACACAGAGCATGCTGGGCTTGCCCCACGCTGCTCAGAGCAGAGCAGCAATGTAACAGCTATTTTTAATCAGTGGTGACTGGCTAGCAGCAAATCAAATATCGTTAGAAAAAGCAGTGTGCATGCCTCAAAAGCATTATTTGAACTTAAAAAATAAGGTCACCCAAGTGTTATGAATTATGCATTTAGTCTGGAAATTATTAAAGTGTTTACTGGGGGTTTTGGTTACCCTCAAACGCTCTCAATAGGACAGTTTTTTACAAAAGCCAGTGACTTTCCCCTGCCCTTATTCCTGCCCATTCCAGGAGCCCTGACAGCTTTCCTTACAACATGGAGTTTCCTGGAGGTCCCCCACTGCAAAAAATTCAAATTAATGGAGTTTTGCCAGCACTGCACAGCATCTGCACAGCGCTGCTGGTAACCCTCTGACCCAGTGAGGGTCTCTGGTCTCCCCTGACTGCAAAAGACAAAGAAGCCAACAGCAGCATAGCTCTCTTTCCCCGTTTTTGAAGTATTGATCCAAGGGAGCTACTTACTTGCATATACCCTTCTAGATGGAGGGTAGGGAAGGGGAGACATAAAGGGAGGAAATGGGGGAGCAGAAAAAGCACTGGCATGTGTTTAAAAAACTTTTGGAGGTGGGAAGAGAGCCTTCCCAGCCTGCTGGCATTTTTTGCTCTCTCCTATTCTTCACCTCTTCACAACACTCCTCCCTGCTCCCCGCTGAAACCACCCCCCCCAACTCCTCAGGGTGGGAATAGCGAAGGAAGGAGTGTGTCCATCGCCTAGGGCAGCCCTCCCTGGCTGTATTTCCCTCAGAGGCAGGGAAGGCAGGCAGGAACATTATTTCAGCATAGTTCAACTTGCCAGGAACAGGTGTAAGACAAACCAAAATAAACCCCTCTTGGAACGAAATCAGAGTCCAAACAAAAGTTTACAACAGTTGAAAGTCACTTCTGAATACTTTAAACATGCTTGGTTTTCTTATCTAAGCATACCTATACTGGAAAAATTAAAAGTCAAGTACTTTATGATGCCACATTTTTATCCAACATACCTCAGGTGCCATTTACCCTATTATAAGTAAGAGAGCAAAATCTGAACTTCCTTTCGTATTCCACTTGAATTTAGTTAAAATTTCTATGGTATTTCTGTAGTGTAAGAAGGCTTTACCAAACTTCTATCAATGTTTTCCTCTTATATCAATATTTTTCTCTTCTATCAATATTTTCCTCTTCTATCAATATTTTTCCTTCTTGCCTTTTAGTGGCAAAACTGGAAGTCAGGAAGAAAAAAACAAACCCAGAAGTAGACTATGGGTGAAACCCAGCTTTGTTGAAGTAAACAGCAATATTTTGATTACTTTAATGGGACTAAGGTTTCACTGCATATCTTGCTGTAAAGCAACAGGAAAGTTTAGGATGTGAGAGTGAGTAATGGGCAGTATAATTCCAAACTTCTCTGTAATGGCTGATTAGAAGACAAAAGTTTCTGAGGCACATTTACTTCTGTGATGTTTTCGAAGCTAGTATCTTGTGTACAATTCTTCAAAATGTTAAGTGTCTCCTCAGCTATGAGACTGATTTTATTCACTCTTTAGAAATATCTCTCATATTCCTATCCTTGCAGATAGTTATCATTCCTGGTTAACTCCAGTCTGAGAGTTCAGATCTTCTCAGCAGCTTTTGCAATGTTCACTTCTGAACGCTTCACTTCAAATCAAATTTCAGACAATGAATTCTTCCACTTCAGATCTTTCATCTACTACCATTCAAAAAACCCCTGTGATTACATGAAAGTTTTGTTCATAGTAACTTAGCAAAGGCTTTTTTAGTAGATAGCCACTGTGTGAACAACTGACCCCCAAAAAAGAAAAAAAAATGAACCCAGAACTTATGTGTGTGATAGACTACCCTTGTATATTGTCCAATCTCACTATAATAGTGACATATATGTAAAAACGTGTAGACGTGGCACTGCAGGATATGGGTTAGTAGGAATGGTGGTGTTGGGTGTATGGCTGGACTCGATGATCTTAGAGGTCTTTTCCAACCTATGATTCTATGATTCTATGACAAGTAACTGAACCCCAGTAACGCAACAACCTGAAGCTCGGGAATAGTTTCAGCTAGCCCTTGAGAGATGTGCCAGCCAGAGTTCCCCAATTCACAGAGGAAGGCCAGTGTAGGGCTGCCTTACCCTGCCCAAGCTCCATCAGAAACTCTGGGTCACTTGGAAGAGCCATTAGCATTTCTAAGCTATGAGCACTTCCAAGGGCAACTCTGTGACTGAGAGATTCATAATGATAAAAAAGGAGGCATCACAAATCATCATAATGGATTTTTTTATTTATAATGCCTTTTTCAATGTAATGCTCCTACCATGAACTTTTTGAATGTTGTGAAATTTTACAGTATTCAAGGGTATCGTGGGCCCAGTTAAAGAACTTACTTGGAATAGGTAAAAGGGCGAACACAGAAGCTTTACTTGGATATAGTGAACCAAACATCCCAAAGCCTTGATGTGCCATCAGGACAATCTCTAGTATTACAGAAAGAATGTCAGGATGATATTAGGAAACAATTCATGATGATCTC